TGGGGGCCTAAAACCGTATGTGTGTGTTATATATATTTTTCACATAATATATTTTCACACGACGACGATTGCATCAGTGTACGTCTCAAGGGCTGCTGTTAACCACATATGTTTCCTACATATTACTTACTGATGTTTCCATTCCTAAGATTGAACTCACAAAGTGTATGCGTGTTCAAACTAAAGTAGAAAAAAAATACCCATAACTTATTATCTGAATTAAAATTAGAATTCGGGTAACATAGTGTCTTTGTACTATGGATGTATAAGACTGTGAAACAAAAACACGACACGGATCCGAATAATTCAATTGTTAAGGGTATGATACAACTAAAATAGTAAAATGAATAGTGATGACGTGATTTTCATGAAAACTAAAAATTAACTGATAAATAAATAAAAAGTGACTTCGAGTAGATGGAACAATCACATACATAATACAAACGTCCACCTTTTTTATAGATTGTGAGAGAATAAAAATATAGTATCTATTAAAATGAATACTTTTTCTATACATTTTATATGAATAAATGTATCACTATTACCACATTTCATAGATAATTCATAACATTAAAAACAAAGTTTTTAACACTATTCAATTTCATCATATTCATTTGGTAATCCGTAAGGTATATGGAATAATATATATGTAGGTACTCATACTACATTCAAGTACTGATATTGAACTAGATTTTATTGAAAAAAAAAAATGAAATTAATTAATATTCCTGTATTAGGTATATGGTGAATTTTAAAAAATAAGCAGGTATTAACTCAAGTTAGCATAAAATCATCTTTGTGAACAGACTCGACGCCACATGCCGGTATACAGGTAGTGTTAAGAAAATATACGGCGTTAAAAATATGTTGATGTATTATTAAGGAATAGTTTACTAAAAACACGACGAACGGCGAAACCCTAGTTGTCCACGTCGAGCACATTCAGTTGACTTTAAGTTAATCGACCGGCAATGGCGATTAACCTAATCGGATTACAGCGGCGGCGACAGTGCATGCGGTATGTAGTGTGCGTGTGTCATGTCGGTGTGCTGGCCGGCGGGCTAGCTGACTGGCCGGACGGCGGCCGTGCTGCAGCTTGTGTGCCTCCTGCAGTCCATCATGTCGGGGCGTGCGGGCAGGGTTGGATTCGATGGTGACCGGGGAGAAACACAACGATATATACGCGATATACACGTCTAATTACGCGCGGGGGAAAATATACGCTAAGCGTCGCGCTCCCTTTTATCATTAACTATTGACAACATCTACAGCGGCGGCGGCGGCGGCAGCACGACGAGCAATTGAGCAAAGTGAAAAACACCACCGTCTGGCTACAAATCCTATTATGTGTGTGTGTATCGGGGTGGATAGACGTGCGCATTTATTATTATTATTTCACTATACCTCCCCGTCCCAGGACCCGATGTACATTATCTAATTAGGTATACTAACACTGCAGACAACGTTCATCGCCGCATTAGATTACACTAGAGCTTTTTGAAACTGTATATCATTATTATCATACATTGTAGGTATTTTATTATTATTGCTAGGTATTATTATCACCGGGAAGTGAGAACGTTTTATCGGGCTAAAAATACGCGTAGTGTAATTAATATTTCAGCACGAATGTATGCACGTTTTATTAACAAGTATACACCGACCTATGGCAATTACACTATATAATAATTATAGGTATAACGAGTTAAATATTTGGTGGTTTAATATTAATAAACTCCTAAAAAGTGAAGCAGCATTAAAAGTTGGTAAATAGTAGATTTTGAGTTATTTTTCTAGGCATACACAAAAGCGTTTGTTTAACATTTTTACCAAAAAGTAATATCGTATCATTTTTTTACCGGTAATTGGATAGGTATAATAATTAATTGTTGAAAGCAAAAAGGGACATGAACTAGAAATATAATCGCTTTGATATTGATTTAGTTGTGTTATAATTGATTAAATTTGAAACTTTGGGTACAGTATTTAGTAGATACACATACATAATATTATATAAGTACATAACGACATTACAATATTTTTGCCACTACGACTACTTTTCTCAAAAATTTCATTTGTGGGACAGCGATGTCAAAGTAATTGAAATTAATAGAATTATATTTAGTGGTGATGGCGATATAATGAAATAATTCACTGACAACGAGGAATAAAAGCAGCCAGAGCGCGCAGTCACTCAAACGAAAAAAAAATGACACAAGTTGAGTAGGGCGCACATATAACGAAATTACTCCAATATAACAACCACCCTACTAGAGATTCATTTGTCCAAAGTTGGGGTACGGAGATTATCATATTACACAATTCCGTGCCATTACCTTTAAGTTATAAATACTTAAAAACGCATTGGTTAACGCGCGGTTCGTCTCCGCCGCAGTAGTATGAAACGTACAGCAACCGTCAATAACTGGATGTCGCTCACGATTTTATTAAATCAAATCTAAAATTACTGTACGCGCTGAAATATAATATTATATTATAGCAAAAATCAGATTCGATTACAAAACTCTCCACGACGGTCCACTGAAACCTGCTGCACGACACCACGCCGGGTTTGAGCAATCGGTAAGAACTTATAAAAGTTCCAACGTTTATGCACCTGGACGACCGTCGGTCGTCGGCGGTATTTCTAGTGAGTAAAAAATAAACCTATACAGCCGAATTCATTACTACATTATAATATCATCGTCGTTGATACTTGAACGGACGCATTTCGTCAACAAACCGCCTCCCAGTCAAGTGCCGTAACAGACACTACTTGAATAAACCGTGATGATCGCGATAACCCGCGTACGTGTTTATCATCGTGTACACACACTCACACACACACACACACACACACACTTATACATTTTATGTGCTTTATAAGATATTATATAATATATACGGCGGTGGGCCGCTGATTTATCTGTACATTAATGCGAGATGAAAATATACGATGTCACATTGTGGCTCATCTCGGAATACACGAGCACGCGCAGCGTTAGTATGGAGCGTTCGTTGGCATTCGGTTTCACGGAAATATCTCCTCTCTAGTCCGTAGTGTCTATGGGTTGTGTTCGTTCATTTGGCGGTTCAAAAACCCAAATAGCCATGTCCCGCCGCCGCCGCCACCCCGCGCACATGTACGACGGATGAATATATAAATAGCGTCCCGTGTGTCTTTGTCTAAAAACTAACTATAGTCATACGCGAGTAGGTTCATACTCAAGGCGCGCAAAATAATGTGTATATACTCGTACACACAACACTATGATATAATATCATGCAGCTGGTGATATAATTATAAAAATATATATTATATACTATACGAGTATCCGGAATAATTTTTCGAAAAAAAAATTAATATCCACGAGAAAATGTAAAATAGCTATGCATAGTATACATATACATTTATATGGTAAAAAGATGTTTTCGAAAGAAAAAAATAGTTTTAGAATTTTTTATACTATGTCTAAACACGTAAGGTTACGACTTCATAACCAGTTCCGACGGAATGGGATTTATGAATTAGAATATAATATTTATAATCGGCTGATATAATATGTAGGTATATTATATATTATAGTTTATGTTTTTTTCTGTTTAACATAATGTATGATTTAAATTCGGTGAGCCATGTATAATTTATTATCTATTTGAAAATATTCTCGGATTTCATATCAATACTGCAAAAGACAAAAGCCCTACGTCGATCAGCCACGGTAAAACTCTAGCCCTTTTTAATAACAATTTCGTTACAATAATATAATACCCACGACATTGAGATCCTACCCACGACGCCGGCGTTTTTGTATGCCCGTGTAAACTAGTCTGACGATTGCGAACCAGAAAGGCGGCAGAGAGAAAACACAATGATGTACCACGTGTGTAAGCCGAATAATAATAATAAAAAAAAACCGATTTCCCCCTGTCGACGTCGTCATTATTACTATTATTGTAGTAGTGCAGCAGTAGTATACCCTCGTCGGTTTGACGAAGGGCGAAGGGGCGCGAAGGGGATGGATATATACGCGTATGTACGGTGTGACGGCGGCGGTGGTGGTGTGAATGATGGTCGCCCGTCGAATTGACACCAATTACCAGCAGCAGCAGTAAAAACCCATCTCCTGCGCCACCACTGACGACGAAGAGTTTTTCGCTCGCACCCCAAAAAAAAAAAAACGTATACACCCTAGTGGAAGGGGGACGCGGACGGGGGCCTCTGCCGGTATAATACACGTAGTGCGTATATAATACAGAAGCCACGGCCGCACCCGGTGTGTATACATATACATATATACCGGTGGTGTTACAATGCTCTCAAACGCGCTCGAATTCTCAACTTTTTTTTATATTATTATTATTATTCAGTTTCACGCGCAACCCTGCACCCTCCTAACCCACCCTCTGGCGTGCATGTGTAAGTGTATATGCCTATTATTGTATTTGTTATAACCCAGTGACTATACGTGTATATGTGCGTGTGTGCATGTGTGAGCGCGGTGGTCCCCCTATATATACGTGAATATATATAGTAATAGTAACACATCGGTCCTCCCAACAACGAAAACGTGGCGGTTCTACATATACCGTGCAGTGACACGAAGAGAACGCGGCGGCGACGGCTGCATATAATATTATTACATATATTATGTATACGTGTTAATACGCGTTAAACATTGTCGCCAATACCGACAAGAAAATAACAAGCGGCGAAATCAGTTTTACTATTTATATACGTGTTTGCCGCATTCGAGTGCATAATCATTGCAAAGTTACATGTTTATATTTCTAATCATTTATAAACTAAGTCCTGAGAATCCTAAAAACATATCTATATAGATCCAACACCCACCATCGACAGCAGTTGTAGTAGTTGATGCAATGACGGCGGTTTTGACATGAGTGAAATACTTTTTTACTCTCAAAACGGGTACGTGTAGTACCGTATATTATACCTATTATACTATTATCAGCCAATTATTAATTTATGTACTCACAACGTCTGGCGTACTCGCCCCATCTGTGTGCGATGTTGAATCCGCGTTACTACGGCCGTCGTTGTTGCCGTTCGTAGCGCCCCCTAAACCGCCCAAGCCACCAAGTTCAGACATGGACTTTCCACCACCTCCAGCTGCTGCTGCGGACGCTGACGACGACGAATCCCGTTCGTCGATTACGAGATCAATTGGCATTTTTCCCTTCAAACAACTGATGTAACGATGACAAAAGTTGTCACACAGTTCATGAACCTGTAAGAAAAAAAATAATATTTTTAAACGTATACCTTTATTAATACTATATAGTACAATATATAAATACGTACATCTTTTATTATTATTATTATTATTATTATTATTATTATTCACAAGTACGTGTACCGTTATCGTAATAATATTTCGCACGATATTGCGACAGCGACCAGGCACACACACGCACACATATGTATACGTGACGAAGGGCCGTTAGTTACGGAGGATTATGAAGAATTTTCCAAAAAAAAAAAAAATAAGAAACACATGTGTGTGATGGTGTAGTGTTACCACGGCCGTTGCAGATCGGTCACATTTCATGGTTAGACCACACCGTCATATATAAGACGGGTAACATTATTATGTTATAATAATATATATAAATAGGTATAGTGAATACGTTACACGTATGTACAAAAAAAATAATAATAAAATAGTAGAGTATCGTCATTATCGGTGCAAAAACCTTAAAAATATTTATCATAGAATTCATTGTCGTTTTTTTTTTTTAAACTGAAATCATATGTACGATGTACCAACCATAGTAGATTTTTTTTAAACACTCATAAATTATAGTTGCGCCTACTCTAATTTATTATACATTATATGTTCGTATTTATTCTAATTAAATACTTACTTTTTCTAACTCCAATAGATGAAACCGTAACACCTGAATCGCTTGCACCATCTGTAAAAAAAGACATATTTAATGATTTATTAGTCGTTAAACATTTTTTTTTACACTTATAATAAATCACGCCCAGTAGAAACACTAGTTATACGTAATAGTAGTAGTTATTAGTAGCAATATATAGTACCTATAATAGTCGTAATAGTAGAAGTTATAGACTGTGTATATAGACGACATATTATAGAGGTAGTGTAAGTAACTAGTATTAGTTGTAGTAATATAGTAATAATACATAAGTGTCTAATAAATAGTTTTAAAATTTGATGACGATTTTAAATTAATTTCTTAATTGTTATAACTTATTTCACTATTTAGCACGATAACAAGAATGACTAGTTTTTTCTACATTATAACACATTATAATACAACTAATTTGTATACATAAAATATTTATACATAAGGTACTAAATATTAATTAACAATTTTTATTTATTTTTTTGTAAATATTAAACCATCACTATCTGTATATAGGTAGTGATGACGAGCATGGATTCATAGGTATATAAGACCTGTCGTATGGTGTAACACACACACACACTACCAACAAGAGACTATAATTCATATCGCCGTCGCTGCTGCCGTCCTCCTCCTTACTACTCTTGTTACAAATTGAAACGTTATTTTTGATTTATATGTAGTGTACGTCATGTTGGTCGTTTTTTATTTAATCCGCGATTATATCGACGCGTGGTTTGGCGGTCGGTAGTTATAATTAATTAACGTGATCGTCGATTCCCGCGTGTTGAAGATTTTTAACGCTTTTGACTGATGCTTGTGTGCGTATTGTTAGTAATTAAATTATATACCCATTTATAAAAATGTTTATGAAAATAATAAAAAATTATACGATATACAAGTGTTTAACTCTATATGGTAGTGGGAACGAGGTCAAACAATTAAAACAGATTTGCATTAAACGGTTTTGATTGGGTATTATTTGTTAAAATATTTATCTAAAAATATATTATTTATCATAGGTACACCTATATAATATATATAGTAGAAATACGCAATACAAGAATTTGTAACAATTACGATAAACTAGAATACTAGATAATAAAATGTAGTAATCGCTATATTTATGAGAAATTAAAAAATATAATAATCCGACAAGTGTTTACGAAACAAATCTATTAGTACTATTACAGTAATAAACAAATGAACAAAAAAAACAAACATTAGTATGGTTATACCAACATGTTACAAACAATGGTTAATGAATTTAAATTATTAATGCGAGATGATTTATTCATTGAAAAAATATAATAAATAATAATATAATCATAATTAAAACGTGTACGCATGTCATTCTCATTTCGATTCAAATGCGAGAAAAATCAAGAGAAGAAACCCATATATATACTACATGTTTCTGTATGTATATAAGTTAATATATATATGTTCACCAGACTCCCATTGTCCAGGTAAACCGGTTTACTATCGCTGCCACATATTTTTTAATTATAAGCTATTTGTGAGCACCGCCGCCGCTTTGCCCTTTGGGACTCTCATGAGTTGGAGACCATATTTTATTTTATTTTTATATTTATTAATATTATACAGTGTATTAAAAAACGTGAAAATGGCGGCGGGCAATCATAATAATGCAGTGGAAAAAGAAATTGACGGAAAAACTATAATAACGTACCTACTTATACGATATTATATATGAGTATTGTATAGTAAGTATATTAAGTACAACACGACGCTGTTGGTCTAAAATTAAAAACTCTATTAATAATACGTTTAATTGATCGAATGCCAACAAAATGATGATGGTACATTTATAATAACGAACCGTAGCCAACAACTATACACTATACAACTACTAACCGTAGCGTGTGTGTGTGTGATTTTATATTATAAGCATCGTGCACCGGAGGGATATACATAATATTATTTCGTTTCGTTTCATTTTTTTTTCGCTTCTTGGAAAGAGAGACGGCGAACACCTTCCACGAATTCGACACACCCTCTACAGGTCGGTCCGTCGACTATAGCTGTTACAATATACGTACCCTCGTCGTCGGCGGCGGCGACGACGACGACGACGACGACGACAACGGCGCGGACGACGCGGACGGCGCGGACGACGTATGGTGTTGGAATGTGTAAAAATGTGGAAGAAAAAAACACACACACACGAGCGCGCGACACACACACTAACTCAGAGAGGCCAACAACACATAAGGTCAACAGGATTCCATTTTCCACTCTTCTGCGTTGTGCTATAGCGATGATGATGATGGCGCATATGTTGTGTGCTGCTTTTATATAAGTAGTTGTCCCCCGCAGAGAAACATAATATATGTGTATAAGATATTTAGTGTATATATATATATTTAATAATAATTATAATTATATATATATATTATGTGTAATATAAATTTACACACGGGAGAAATATTTATATATTATATTAATATCGCGTTATTTGTTACGTTGTCTTTGGCCGTCGTCGTTATTTTTTTTTTTTAAATTTCGTGTCGTATGAGAAATATCGCCGTTGTCCGTTCTTTTTTCATGTAACTGCAAAGATACGAGTAAACGATACCGCCACAACATCCTGTTTAAGTAGTATTTTCACGGATCACGATGTCACAATAATCACGGTCCAACAGTTCTCTGGCCCGTAGTATTCATTATATACATGTACTACTCTATATATATTGGCACCTTCAGTAATTGTTATAGTTTCTGGTCAGTTAGGTTTCTGTTTTGGTGCTGGTTTTAGACACCACCGTGTACGCCACTACAATTTCCTAATTTTTAGCACCATCATATAGGATAGCTACACCATCCATAATGTCTTCCATCTCGCCTTAACGTCATTATTTTTAATGCGCTATATAATATTATAATCATTGATGGCAGCGTCGACGGTGCAGGTAATACTCAATTTCCTTCTAGTTTATAGTTACGCCTCATTGCAATTGATCTTTATTTTTTCATCGCTAAATTGATCACTACGGGGTTTTTGTGAAATTAAATAATAGTAATAAGACTATACGTCTGTATAATATATTATAGTGGAGAACGCGACACGCGTTTTCCCTCTTTCTTGGATCGCAGTAAGCCGACAGAGATGAAGAACGTTAACGAGCTGTATTTGTTATATACTTATAGATATATACTTATATACACGCATTGTACTAACTCCAATATATTGTTCACTTGACCGTGCAAACGAGACGGCAGGGACAAACACAATAATATAGAAGCAGTAGCCAGTATAGGTTTAAGTACATTATATATATATATACTAATATTTCCAGCAATCACACTTATATATATATATGTATTGTGTAAGTAAAAAGACCAGATCTCCATCCAATGTTAAATTTCTTAAAAAAATCTTAATGACCACAAAACACGATACATTTTATTGTATCAATATAGTACTATTTTTACTGAGTTAATTGTATTGAATTCGTATTCAATATTTTAATTGTTAAAATCATTTTGATATTTATTGACAAATAATTATTGATACAATAAAATTGATTGTGTGGGGCATTTTACAACTGCGCTGCTAGGTGGCTAGGTAGTCAGTAAGTACTATACATTTAAAATATGATATATGAATTTAAATCGTAAAAATAATATTATTTTGTCCTTACCAATGAGTCGACTTCAGCATCAGCCATATAGAACGGTTTCTCTTGACGTATCTAAAACAAAATACCATAAAATGATATTAATTTTCATATATTAAAACAATTTAATATTCGTATAATATTAAGATTATGATTCGTTTTTGCAGTAATTTTTCTGAAAGTAGGTGGTATTCGAATATAATATATTGTTAACGGTGCCGCCGCTGTCACACATTGGTTATTTTATGGATTAGTTGTTAAAAAGAACAGCAGGTAATATAAGGCTCGACCGTAAGTCGTTTTTCAAATTTATTTCATGATTTTTTTTTCTCGCATTTTTCGATTTAGCCGTAGCAATAAGCAACAACAATGTAACTGCGCGGATACGATTTTGTAGTCAGCCTTCCAGCCGGTCGGTTGGTCGGCGGGCGAGCGCGGGACGTGGTGGCAGTGGTTTTACGATGCAATTAAACCCGTCGTGGCCGCGGCCGTTGTTGGGGCGCGCGCGCATATTTTTCGCGTCTGTCTATAAATATACATATATATATACGTATATGTACACACACACATCCACAAAAAATATTAAATATGTAGGTGTGTGAGTGCGCGCGCCGACGTGCGTATAGACAGCTTAGTGCTTACATGCGTAATCTTCGTTTTTTATTTTATTTTATTATGTTTGTCATATTTTTTATTGTTTAATATTATAATAAAAAGCGAGTATTTAGAATTCTTTAACATATTTCAATGAGACAGCGGATGAACTTGAGTAATTAATTAACATAATAATATATTTAAAATAATCACGATATGTATATATTATATTATATATTTATATAGGAAGGTATATAGTATATATTGCTATATAATGATCCTAACTATATTACTACATGTAATATACTGCTGCATAGTGATTAGGCTAATGAAATGGATCTATAAATCTTATAATAATAATAATGAAATAAGTATAAGTATAAAACCGGGGTGTTTAAGTAGCAATAACAATAAAAATAATAACACTACAGGGGTAGAAATAGCAGCATGCGACTGCCGCGTTTACGAGCCGTTTACATTTAGATGCATGGCTACCGCAATAGCAATGAACCTGTGAGACGTCATTTTTTTTTTATTAACGATGTTTATTTCAACAGATTAATTTTAGAATAATAATTTAATGAGATCATTTTTAACGAAATCTACCATCAAAATATAATTGTTTAAATTATATAAAACGAATTTATTCAGATTATTGTAACATAAAAATATTCAAAAAATTTAATGAATTGTAATTGTTATTTTAATTAATGAATTGTTATATTATAATGTATAATGTAACGTCCTAGCCTAAAAATATACACATTAGTTTCTTTTTTATGAATTAATCAGGTGCATCATATTATATAACAGATTTTTAATCATATTTAAAACATATATTTTGTTTTGCTTCATAAATTATTATTACATACAGCAAGTCTGCAATGCTAATAAAATATCTGAAAAGCCTTTTTTTAATACCAATTTGTAGATTATAAATGTATTTTAATATTATAACAAGCATCCTCATACTCAAGTTAACAAAGTAATAATTTTGTTTAACACATAATATTAACAATATGTATATTTAAATTATATTGTAATAGAACTGTGAAGTTTGAAGGACGTGAATACAAAATAAATCTATGAAACTTAAGTTTGGGTTATTTTCATCATTATATAATTACTAATTTCTTTAATAACGCCAATGAATTGCAAATAATATTCTCATAACACTATACAAAATTTATTTTTACACAAAAATAACTTAATTTTAATCGCTTGAAGCTTTAATTACTTTTTTTTAAACAATAATTCATTGTTGTTATACCCTACGCCTGTAAGCGACAAAGTATATACTATAACACCGCGGTACATGGACTAATTTAATTTAAAAAAACTGAAAATCTTGAGAAATATGAACAAAAAAATACGTAATAAGTACTTTTACTATATTTCTTATTATTATTATCATTTTTTTAACGTTGTATAATATCACCAACCTTTAAATACATTTTAATACATTGTACACTAAATATATTATATATATTATATTATATTACACTCTTTCTCAATAAAGACTGTTGTTGTCCCGCAACGACCGTGGGACGTTGTGAAGAAATATGTTAAGGTGGTCTAATGGATTTTTTCTCTGATACGGTACACACAATGTACCTTTGGTTTTTTTTTATCCCCAGGATCTTATTATATTACTACAGCATAAAAAAACTCAAAGATATACGACAACTACAGCATTAACGACGTAAAGTAATAAAAAAAAAACCCATAGTATTATTGGCGAAAACGATGAAAACTAAAATACACAATAGGAATATGTGCATACGTGACAGTCAATATTATAAAAAGATAGTTTTTTTCCTCAGAAGCTGAATTTAAATTTAAATATTAATAACAATAAAATTATCTAAGTAGTATAATCCTAAGAAAATTCTAATTAATTATATTCTAATTGAGTGCACAATTTAAATATAATTAATATATTAAATATATTATAATATAAAAGTAGATATTAAACACCGTTCATTTTACAACAGTCTATAAAAACTTATGGCAGTAAATAAAAATTCAAAACGTCTGAAGATGGCTTAATATGTTTATTAAAAAACAAAAACAGCATTAACAGCATACTACAAATATGGATAGACGATGAACAATGATCACTACTACTAAAAAAAATATATAATATAATGATTATCGATATCGTTATTATTTATAGTATTTATACGTGTATTTACAGTCGTCATCGTATGCGTATATAAATATAATTTAGTTGAGATGTATGATTTTTTTTTTCATCGTTCTTTGGCTTGAATTCATAACTGAGAATATTATATTGTTGCTGAAGAGATGCAATACACGGGTTATATTGATTTTTTTTATTAGTAATAACCAGTTTCTAATGTACAAGTACAACTAAAACCACATTTTACACAAATGCACTTTTTAGTTTTTTTTATGAAAAGTACCACAAACCCTAATCGTTTTTAAGCGTATAATATAAGTGTTATATTATTTTATTATTATACCTACTTCGTGTTTCCTCGTACTCTCTTAGACGCAATTATGAAGCCTAAATAAATGATATATTATAATAGTTATTAACTTTAAGTATAAAACTTTAATTTTACCACTACAGAATTGTTACCTAAATTAAAAATATTTTTTGGATTATGTAGTTTATAGTTGAAACGATTACATGAATTCAGTAATTACTTTTCAAAAAATTATTAGGTAAGTATTATTAGAAAATGAATTGAGATTTTGTTCTCTGGTGGTAATCTATATTATTATTTATAAAAAATAGTATTAATGGGTTTTATAGAACTAAATATCCGCGAACTATTTCATTATTTTTTACAAAGTGGTCAATAAACCCAGGTTTTTATAAACGTTGAATATAAACATATTATACTATATTAATGGCTTTTAAAAAATTATTATAATAGGAACAGGTTAAAAATACGAAATAAATGTATTAATTAACATCGTAGTTGTTCATTATATACAATTAATTATAAATAGAAATTAATACATAATAATGGAATATTATTTATTATATATATATATATATGATAATATTATTACATACGATAAGATGTTAAATATCTATAAAAATATTAAATTTTGATATTTTATTGTTGCAGAAACTGAGTTCACCGACATCACTTACTCGACCGTATTTTATATAGGCATGTTATTTTGTCACGTTTTAAATAATGTAACGTTGTATACCTATCGATTATCGAATATATGTATTAATTTATTATTATTACTCGAATTCGTTAAAATAATTATTCATCCTATGTACTGTAGAAAATTATGAGATAACTAATACAATTTTACAGAGATTAACGCCCATTTGAAAATAATAGTTTAAATATTTTCATAATATCTGCTTTGTCTGCAGCAACGATAACGGTGAACGCCCTATTATAATTCGGACAAACGTGCCATCAGGATTTTTAAACGAAACCATCGTCGATCAATAGAAATAGTAAAAATAGTAAAAAAAAAATTAACTTATTTTTTTAGATAACATAATATATTATTACATTATTATATTATGTTATACTAAATATGACGTCCTGTTTTCTGTATATACCTACATACAAAACAGCCTCTACCACAGATCAGACCATTACTGCCTACAACTACTACTACTATTACTACTACTACTACTACTACTACTACTACTATGGTGTGAACGCATACAACTATTTTCACTCGCACTAATACACACGCACGCGTGCGCGCGCGTGACTGTAGCAGCACGTAAAAAAGTACTGAATAAGCTAGTGAGTAGCAGTGGCGGCGGCGGTGGCCAAGCTATGAGTGTGGTGGCCTCGCTTTAATTATCATATGATTTAATGTATATTTGTGTGTGTGTGTTGCTGCAGCCGACGATTCGGCTTTACGGGACACTGGTGTGATGGGTTCCCGTTTTACACGCGGCGCAATATATATACATAACTAAATACAAAATTGCACGATATTATTATTTTAATGCACAATTCGATCGTGATCGATTTCTTACACATTTTATAAGTCGAAGAAGATCCCAATAATTGGTTCTTAAAACAAGAAGTGTACCTCTATAACACGAATAAGTTATACCACCGCCACACTGCACCGACTGCGTAAAAATGTAGGTTAAGGTTAAAGCGGTAAACTCGAATATAGCACCAATGTGTACGATATATACTGTACAGAAACGATTTGGAAAGAAGATCGTGTGTTATAAATTATAATATACGCACGCGACTGTATTTAAAACTCGATAATAATATGTTTATATATATTGTGTACACGCCGAAGACAGACAGAATACTGGTGTGATATAATTTATATAAACAAATGAGCCTGCAAGTGAGCAACAGCGATTTAGTCGATTTAAACTGAAGTCATTTTTTTTTCAACACAACCCCAAAACTAATATGCTGTACATTATTATTTTTAGGTCAAAGAATCTGACGCATCCCTACGTGTTTTTAATGTATACAATAAGTCACATATTCAATATATATAATATATATTCGACACGCACAGTATACCTAATCCGATTAACTCAGCATTCGTGTGAGTACGACAACGACGTCGACCTCCCAAAAAGACGATAGAAGCACAAAAAAAAAAGAACTAAACATAGGGAGAATTCATGGACCCAACCCTAAACCTGGGTAGTGAAAGAAAAGAACATGAATGCATCTGCACAGCGGGCAACAACAATCAGCCAGCCACAAGGTAAAAAGAACATTATATATATACATTATATATACATAAAAAGGGAAAGAGAATTTGTATGCCACCTTAACATACCTGAATACTCAGAAAAACGTGAAGAAGAATCGAAATACTATTGTATAGGTAGTACAATAATATTCAACATTTTAGGTAAAATATATTTATACATTTTTAAAGATAAATAACAGCAGTTTAAAATATTTGTGGAGTAATTTTAAATAGTTATTCATTTATAACACAAGAAAACCAAAAAAAATAATTGCAATTTTGAAGAGAATACTTTAGCAGAGAATTATTGAATTTGCATTATTTATTCGAATACCGATCATACAGATTATTAATTGAACAAATAAAAACGAAATACTATTATATTATTATAATAAACTTTATATACACACTATTAAATTAATATATATATTATTTACAATTAAGAAAAAAAGTTATTTTCATAAACAATTTGTTAGATGAATGAAAACTACATACAGAAACAACAGTGGATAGTGGTGAATATGGAGGTAATAAATAACATCGTTAATCGTTCTACAAAGTAAGTGGCTGGGAAGAGGTAGACTAAACAAGGTATCTTCTACAACCATGCTGACGGTTATCTAATGGTGTATAGAAGAATGTTTAAACTAAGATTATATTACTGTATTTAAAATGAATATTTTAAAAGATTGCGTTTTTGAAGCGTAATAAATTTTTATTTTTATTGTACATAATAAACGTATTATAATTATGATAAAAATGATTAAAAATACCTATTCAAAATCTAAAAAAAAGCTAACAAAAGGTATTTTTATAACAGTTCAAAAAAAAAATCGAATATTTATAATTCTTAATACCTACTCATATTCACTTAGATAGTGTAGTTGATTATCAACTTTTGATTTTTGGAATGCATCCACTAAAACTAAAATACGCTTGCGTGTTGTTCTAAAAATAATTATATTTATATATATATATATATAGATAGATAGATATACATATACACTTATATATTGTGTCTTATAAACATTGATGAAAGGTTGCATAACTTTGATAAGTACCAACTAGAATTTGTTTATACGTATAATGTATACTAGGTATGACAATGTATAAGTTAGTTTTTTAAACAATTGGTTTTTTGAGAAATAGTTATTAAAACTGTAATATTTATAAATTAAAAGGTACCAAATAATATAGATTTAAACACCAACAACTATTTTGAAGAAACAACATTGTTAATCCCTCTCCCACCAAAGTGTGTATTTTACAAAATATGGGCAATGAGAAGATTTTGATATTTGTTTCAGTATAGAGAACAGATAATCTGAGATTGTTAGAACGTACAAGTATTGAGTTCAAGTTTATGGCACGGTAAATAAATAGACGGCTCTTGGGAATAAATATAATACTCAGTTTAAAGTACTAGTATAAAAATATTTTTAAAAAAAAACATTTATGTAAGTAATGATAATAATAATAGTAATAATAATAATAGCAGTTAAGACAAGTTTATACGTCATCTCCTTTTTAAAATCACCAACGACATTATTATTATCGTTATTATTATAAAAAAAAAATATAAGTATAATATATAAACAACATTCCGAGCAACAACGTCAGTCGAACCTCTATGTTATTTTTTTTTATTATATAAATTATTTTTATTAATATTGTTATTATTGTATTTGTCTAATTTTTCAACTGAACACGGTGCACGACAAAAATTAGAAATTTTTTAAGTTTTAATTTATAATTAAATAATTTAAAATTAAAATCAGTGTTCTACTACAATCATTATAACAACATGCATGCGCAACGTGCAAACATTATTTAAAACAGTTTTTACAATCATTATTTTAATCGAGTAGAAATCATAATAACAATAAAATATGAAACTAGTCGAACGCACCTATCCACATTAAGTATATAATATTATATTTAGGGGTTGTCTTCCATCGCAACACTTTCGCGGTATATCGTCACGCGCCACTATAATATACCTACTACCGTTAACTCCCGGGTATCCGCCCTAAACGAAGCGAGTGTGTCGTCGTGTTTTTGTAATATCTATAATTATACGGGCAGTAGTGCTATAACATAGCCCTACTATAAAATTACACACACACACACACACATATACACACGGTCATACGCAATCACGTAACGCGGCAATCACTACCGCTAAACGACGCGACCGGCCCATTTTTTTTTGTCAGAACATAGTCTTCTCACTAAATGGTACGCGCGCGAGCCTCGTAAAACGTGTGCAATTTACTATATGCGCCAAAATAGCCCAAGGGTCCCACACCACATACATGCTACACACACACACACACACACACACATATATATATTGGCCGGACGTTCTTCCCTCGAATTACCTCCTCCTATGTATAACACAACACCTCAGTAGCCTCAAAAACACAATACAAATTATTTCTGGAGGGTTGTAAATAATAAGTACACGACGGCGGTGGGCCCCGATAACGCGTATAAACTACGCATCGGTAAATTGTTTGTTTTTATTTCGTTTTTTTTTCGAACGCCACAAATATACTATACCTATAGGTCTATATTAGAGTTTAATAGTAAATAGAGTGCATCGTATGGTGTGTGGGACACGTAAACTCGGACGACCCCGCGTTAATCGAAATCGTGTGCCACGTAGGTGGTGTAGGTACAAAAGGGAGGCTAGGGAGGAATCAATCAATCAATAATATTTTAAAAATGTGGTATACTAGGTAGGCAACGCGTTTTTCGAAAAATGACGACCGGCGAGCACCATTCTATATCATTTTATTATACTCATAAAGAAATAAATAATTCGAAAACAGAACGATGTCGCGACACTGCAGCTATTTATATATATTAAAAAGGCAGCATTTCTTTCCAAACGGCCGTGATATCGTGTACACCACCTGCGGCTGCAGTACGCAGCTCGAGGAGAGCTTAAAATCTTAAAATGCTACACGCGCACTTATAATATTATAGAATTAAAATATTACCTGTTTGGAAAACACGGCGATGTCTTCGTTGAAGGACTCGGACGAGCACACGTCACCGCCCGCTACGCCTGGATCCCGGGGCGTGCACGTGGCAAGTTCGCATTTTTCAAATATTAATGCCAGAAGCGGGAACAGCGGGTGCCTAAAAAGGGGACGGTAAAAAAGAACACACGACAATTAATACACAATGGTTAATGTTTGGTAAATAAGAAAATATTAATGTGAGTGCGGTGGTATTGTGTGTTGTTATATTAATTATTATACCAATAATATACGGCAGGTACACTTTAATGTACCTACGCGGTCGCATTATCGCCGCACTATATATTTTATACACAAACGGAGGCGGTCAAGAATAACAATAAAGGTGTACCCGGTGTGTGTATAATAATATAGCGAACACGAAATATTTGATTTAAATTAACGTTAAACACGCGAATATCACGACAATGTAAAAATATAAAAGTAAAAAAGGAAACCGTTTCGATGACGTACGAGCTAGAGACCATGATACCTGTATGTATAAAGTAGAAGCGAAACGGAATTCGATATACTACTTACACCGAATGGATATAGAAAACGATTCTAGGTTGAGCGTATATCATGTAATTATTAATTTATTACCTAATGATATACGTCCCAATTTTATTTCACGTTGTCGCGTCGAAAAAATAATAAAAAGTACATACATGTTAAGAGCGGATTTGTTGTAAACGACATGCGCATGATTTCCGAGCGAAAAATAAATCATAATAACTATATTCAATCGATTGCCGTACGACGACAATAATTTTAATAAAATGTTGTGCAAGCGTCGTGAAACATAAAATACTCAGACGGATTAAAAGAATAATATTATTAGGTACCTGCAGCAGGCCAGCGGGATATATTAGCAGCGGTGAGTTCATGTTATTCAAACACCTTATGATACATTAAAATATGATATAATTATGATACGTAGGTACGCAGTCTGTAAACACGCGAACAAGAGATATTAGTCAGTACTCGGTAGTAAAAAAACGTTGGACGAAAAATAAAAACCGACAATTATTATTCCGCGTTTATTAGCGGCGTACTATCGAGACACCGAGACGCAGCGAAACCCGATCGTGTTCACAAAGGAGCTGGACTGCGCGTTGGAGGGAAAATGATAAAATGCTCCGGTCGTGGTTTACGCAAGGAGATTCCGTGCGTTTCGAAAACGAAACAGAAACATGCGATCAGCCACAGAAGACGTGATATCATATGCCGCGACCGATGTTTGTAAAGCGTGTGGTCCGCCGCGGTGTTCGCAATTTTCTTTTTATTCGCTCGATTAAAAATTGTAAATATTATGTTGGGGTAAAACGATTTCGCGAGTAATTATTAATAACCGCCGAATCACACGCGGTGAACCAGTTGGATGTTTTCAACTGTTTGGTATATTATAATATTATTGTGGTAACAAGCACGGACCACGATGGTATTGCCGGTACAGCACATTAACGGCGGTATCGCGATGGTTTACGCGACGCAGGTTTACTGTGCGGACTCCTGAAAAACTTTCTCACACACAACACTCTCACCGGCTACCACCACATAATACCAGTGACTTACCCGTAAATCGAATCCTTGTCGCGTTTCTGTGCTTCGGGCACCACCACGGACGCACCACCGGATGTGTGATTGTTGGCGGGCGTACCACCGCCGGCGGCCGGCGATACATGGTTCGGCGGTGTGGCGGCCGCTGCGGCCGCGGCCGCCGAATGGAACATGGCCGACACAGGGTGTTGCTGTTGCTGCTGTTGTTGCTGCTGCTGTTGCTGGAGGTGCGCCGCTTGCTGTTGCTGATGGTGGTGGTGGTGCTGTGCGGCAGCGGCCGCGGCAGCCGCTGCTGCCGCTGCGGCCATGTTTTGGAGGCCCCGATGGGCGAGATGCTGTTGCTGTTGGTGTTGGTCGTACATGCCACCGGTGCCGGCAAGTCCAAGACCGCCGGGCACTCCGCCGCCGGGCACTACGCCCGGAGGCACTACGCCGTTGCCGGCTGCGGCCGCAGCGGCCGCTCCGACTACCGCGTCCATGTACTGTTGCTGCTGTTGCTGTTGGTGTATACCCGGTTCGTCGTACTGCAAAACCGAAAATAAACGCGCACACACAAACAACACAAACGTTTTAATAAGGTACGGTAATGATGGTATAATAATAATAATTATAGGTAGGTAGGTAGGTAGGTAGGTATTATAGGTATAACGACGGGCAGTAATAATAATAATGTGTACAACATTGTACAGAGCTACAATAGATAATCATTATTATTATTATTATTATTATTGTTGTTGTTGTTGTTGTTGTTGTTTTTATTGTTTGTTAAGTATTATTCATTGCAACACAAACTCAAATGTAATAGTTAGATTTAATACATAAAAATAATTTTTGTAATGTTTGCTCTTAGAAAAAAAAAACAATGATCGATATACCCGTAATGAATAAACAAATGTTTTAAGCTACCATATATATTTATTACTTATGAACATAAAGGCACCTATAGGCTACTTTAAAATCTAAACTCACTACACTAATTAATTATATTACATTAAATATATTATTGTGTTTACGAGGGGGCGTATTAAAAGTACCAGACCAAATTAATGTAAATGGCACAGTATTTTGTGTATTTTAAAAGTAAAACATGTTTAGTGATTTTTGTTTTACATTTTTCTAATTTATAGGTAGGTGCAATTCATTTATTATTTTATGTGAACCTAAGGAGTTCATGCATAATTGTAAAGTAATGATTTATAAAATATTCACACGTTTTAAAGGAAAAAAATCGCATAACAGTTTGTATTTTTCATAACACCATATGTTTTGAAAGTATACGCCTCACCCGATATAACATTATATTATGATATTATACATGGAAATGTTTAACATCATGTCGTAATGGTATTATGACAATCAGTTTTTTAATAATGATTTGACAATAAAAGTATGCATTACAATAAAGATAAAAGTAATTACAAGACATGTGATATTATATTTCAGATTTCTATCGTATTCGAGTTCGTTATAAAATACTGGAGTATGACACTCAAAATTATTTATAAAATAAGAAACATGTATAAACATATTAATAGAGATTATACCTATATTATTATGGATCTTTTCATTTTGTTGAGCTATTAAAATTATCGTAGATACATGAAACATTTAAATATTATTCATGCTTTATTATGAGAATCAATTTGTCTATTTTTATTATCAAAAAAATACTGCAATAACATGTTTATATTGAACATGTACAGACGGATCAAATTATTCCTCGCTAATAATGTGTGATGTGTATTCCTGAATAAAAATATTTGTTGTGAAATGTTGTAAAAATAATATTACCCAATGATTGTTCATAAAAATATGTTACAAGATATAAAATAATAATAACTTTAATCTTAGAATATGGATTATCGTATAAGTATTAAATTAGTATAAAATAAATCTGATTTATTTGTATATTATAATCTTGGTAGTTGGTTTATAAAAACAATTATATTAAGAAATAATATATTTTTTCAGGATTCAATTGTTTATTATTATTTTGTTCTATAATAATTCTACACATACCTATTACATCAATGTTCAATATGAAATATAACATTATTTTCTGCAATATTAGTATTATTGAAATCCAATTAATTACATTTTATATAATGCAAAATTGAGTTTTATCATTACTTTAATAACTGTTTGAAGTATGACCTTTTTTATGATCTATATGGAAATAAAAATTTGCATGAAACACATTATACCTACCTACAATTAAAACGTCGAAATTTTTGATCGATTGATGATAACCCGGGGCCACATTTATAATGATTTATTATTATTTAAACGATTTCGTAGAATCAGAGCGGTAAAATTATGATTAGGTAATATTATATAAATAATGAGTAATTAGATGACGACGAATTAAAAGAATACCAAAGGCGGCTGCCGTGGCGATAGTATAAAAGTTGTAATTGCGCCAGCAGCGGGCGTGCTCACTACATCAAAGGTTTTTTTCGATTTAGCCATCGCGGTTGCTATTAATTATGAATTATAATTAATAACAATAATAATTTCCTAGTATATGACCCGAGTAACCTAAACTATTTCACGCTAAAGTATAATCGATCTATTATGCAGAGTAATCATTGTTAATTATTTGGTAATATATCTGATATACCTAAACCTAAATATAATTTTTTACAGTAATAACCATAGTTGTTATAATAATAATTAATACAATTATAATAACCAATATTTATATTTAGTAGGTAAGTGAAGGTTTAATTGGTTTTATTAGTATGTTGAAGTATTTAGTTCAAAGTTTTGTATAGCTGATATCTATTATATAGATTAAATGTTGATATAATTTCTTTGAATCACCAATGTTGTAACATTTTATTGCTAAAAATAAAAATTTGCTGAATATTAATGACGAATGACTATTACTAATACAAATCAGAAAATAAGTTAATTTTTACAATTTTTTGATAATATTCAGATTATCTATAAAATTAGGAGAAAAATATTAAGCTTCATATCAGTTTCAGGTAAATAACTAATCTAGTATAATCATTAATCATCAATAAAAAAAATATTGATTTCATGAAACCGAGATAAAAAAAAATGTTTTGAATAGGTAGAGTTTTGAATAATTTATTAGTAGCATATAAATACTATTAATTAAATATAAACATTTTAAAATTTCAATAACTAATAGCTCGATTATATTTTGTATTAATTTGTAATGTTCACAATAACAATTGTATAGTTGTTTTGAATTTATATGATGATGATACCCAGTAAATATTTAAAACCTAATATTAAATTATTTTTTTTAAACGCAATAAAAAAAAACCCGATCAAGCTTTATATTTTGTTTTAAAACGACGTCCACGCTTAATTCACAGAATTTGAATTGTATTTTTTAAGCCTTTTACATGAAATTATAAATAGATACCTATGTTTTAAATATTTTTATGTTAAAATGTACATACATACATCTATGCACAGATTTAATGAATAGGTACATTAATTTATATGTAAATGATATTTATTTACTGTGATAAATATTAAAACCTGATTAATTTTATTGAACATTGATGTTATTTTTGTTGTGTATGTATAAAATTATAAGTCAATGACCTATTGATAATCAAGTTATAACGATATTATGGGTTGTTAATAAAAGATATCGATAAAAATTGGAATGTGTTCTAACTTCTAATCTAATGTAATAATCTGAAGTCAATGTAATATCACATTTTGATGTCTTGTAATCCGGGGAATATTTTACTATTTTATCAAATAGCAGAGCCAATAACCAATATGTATTCAACTAGAAACTAGTTCATACGAATATTCCAAATATTTCAAATTTACTATTCATAAAATGTCACTTTAATATTCACCGACGTCAATAATAAAATCAATTATTGGAACACGTTACTTGAATATCAATAAATTATGATCGGATGAGGATATTATATTTTCTCATTTTGTAAACCTATAGGTAAGCATATTTTTAAGTTATAGGTTCAAAATCTACTTGCAATGAATTATTATCAATTAAATTTATCACATTTAATGACTCACTTGCCATACAATTATACATTTTAAATTATTATCTAACATACAATTGTATGTAAGACGAGAATGTGAATGCCTTAACTTACCCACCTACCAACTTATTCTTAATTTCTATTATAAATTCTAAACACTAAGCATAATAAATATTTTATATCGAAATAATGTGTGTGTAAATTAACAATAAATTCCTATAAAACTATAAAATATGCGTTATATAGCTTATTATAGACGATTATAATATAAAATAATGCAAGGAAAGTTAAATTCTAGAGTGTTAAAAAACAATAAAACGTCTATTATTTAGTATCATTTAGTATTAAAAGTATTAAACGGCTATTGAAATATTGTAACGCATCGCTATTCATGGTGTATATCAGTACACCTATTCTCCGATGTTTAATCTTATGTCAAAGTGTATTTTAAGAGGTGTCGTTTTCAAACTTCGAAAAATAAGTATCGCGCGAGCGTATAATAGGTAGTAAAAACTAAACATAAACTAAAGTTATATATCTAAAATACGGATTAGAAATTAACGTATTATACCTATTATTTATAGGTGGCTTAATAATAATTACTAATAGGTACGTATACACAATACGTGACAACAAAATTACATCAGTGTCGAAAATAATATGTTGTGCCTATTGTTGTTGCGTTAAAAGATCCATAATGACAGCAAATAATTCTTTTAACACAAAACATTGTCGTTGTTTTTTTAATACATAATATTATTAGTTTATTACAATTTTCAACAAGCAATGGTTTTTTTTTTTTTTTGCTACTTAAATTAATACATTAACTGTAACATTCATACGTATATAATAAAATTAGGTGCATGTATACAGACATACTATGTCATATTATATTGTTATGTTTAATTAACCACAGTAACTGTTATTCTTATTATAAATAAAATATAATGTATAAATTATTATTGTTTAAGATAAAACGCTAACAGATAGTTATTATAATAATCTTAATAACAATAACCACAATTATTGTACACACACATTATTCCAAGCAAAACATAATACGCACCATACACGGTATACCTATTATTCAAAGTAATATAAGAAATAAAAAAAAAAACCCGCAAGTATACATAATATAGTTTGGCCATAACGTCTAAGTGACGACGGCGGTGGGCGGTGGCGGCGGCGGCGGCGGCGTAAAGACAAAAGTGACAAAACGAAGGAATAAAAATAACAAAAGCCACATGGCCTCGGTGCGTACACGCCAGCACTTCAAAGGGTGGTATATTATATAGTGAAGTTATGTAATACATAGTCGTGGTGTAGGCCGTTTTATATACGAACGCAGAGCACACACACAATATACGAAAAACACTAAACACATTGTTCACGATATTATATAGTTGTCGCCGAGACGAATAACATTATATTGGGCATTATGATTTACAGTATCGTTAACCGACCTATATGCCTACTACTATTATTATTATTATTATTATAACTCGTAGGTATTATATTGGTTGTGTTTTATTGAAGCGGTTATTGATGATAACGTCCCGGCGGAGTGAGTAGTTGTGTACCTATGCCACAACCGTGTTATATTAATAGTCGATCGAACGTTTCGCATAGCATGCGGGCTTAAATTATAATCGCGGTCATATTGTTAATTATTATTAACTGAGAATGTCGCGTAAACGAAAATGAAACTGACGCCGCCGACGCCCGCCGTCGCGTGAGTCTCGGATGTCGCGAACACGCGGCTTTTTAATCAGATTATTACAATATCGCAAAATAAACAATGTTCAGTACGGATAATAATAAAATACAACCCATTCGTGTACACAGATATTATATACCGGACCGAGACCATTACACGACCGCGGACCGGTGCGCATTATGTTTCATTCATCGTTATAAAATTATTGTTGTCGTCTACAGGATATAATATTAATAATATCGCATACGACTATACATGGGTATAATAATAATAATTTCAATATAATATCGTAATCTTAAGTAGATATAAAAACGCACAATAATACATACATAAACACTCACCCTGGGTTGAGCCATGTTGCTGGAGGAGTCGCTGCTGTTGCTGCTGCTGCTGCTGCTGCTGTTACTGATGTAGTTGTTTATCGCCGTTGTGGCTGCTTTTGTATACTAACAGTAGGCCGTTTATAAAACTATTATTAATTGTGTGTACAAAACCGCTGCAACCAGTTAACACGACGTTGAAGTATATTTTATAAAAATTAAGCTTATTCGAAAATATTTGAATTGAAGCCAGGTATATACGTTGCAGTATAACAGTATCAACAACAAAACGGCGAGAACGACGGCAATACAAAAATCATTGCAAATAGGTACGTTAAGTGAACGTTGATACCGTATAATATACACATGTATAGTATTGTCAATGCGTGTATACAGGAAGTTGCAGACGTCGTAGACGGATTTCAACAGGAAAAAGAAATATTTTTTATTAAAAAAACATTTGCTTAAAAAGAGCGGCGGCACACTCGTGCATAGGTGTAATAGAGGTAATCTATATTTTTATTGAAAAATGATAATTTATAGAAAGATCGACGACGACGGCGGCGGCAGCGGCGGCGGTGACGACGACGGCGGCGCGGCGGTTATTATCTTTCGCAAAGCGGCGTATTAACTACTACGACGACGGCGGCGGCGGAGGCGGCGGCGACGACGGTACGATAACGGCGGTGGCCACTACTGCTTGTGCTCGATACGCTGCTGCTGTTGCTGTTCCTGCTGCTGCTGCTGCTACTGCTGCTGCTGCTGATAGTGCTGCTGCTGCACGTCAGCTGATCGGGACGTCGCATTTCGGCGCGCAAAAACGTGCTTTACGTCTTGCCCCCGTCCGATGCGGCGTGTGTTGTCGTGGTCGTCGCAGCAGCAGTACAGAGATTGCGGTACAGCGGTGGGCTTCGTGTATACGGGTATGACTATGGTGTTAGTCGTACCCCAGTTGCGGCTGCGGCCTCGATCGTAGGTGCTTGATGTATCTCGTCTTCCCGTCGGATCTCTGGCCGGGAGAAAAAACCTTAACCGGCACGCGCAAACACCACACGCGCGCACACACAAACACACACACACACACACACACACACACGTACGTACGCGGTGTGACGTGCGCGTCTTACACAAGAGACGGACGGACCGCAGGTAAAACGACTGCTCCGTCTGTCGAATACAATAACAATAAATGCGGTCGGACCGAAAAAACACACACACACACACACACGTAGTACTCACACGCGAAAAACACAGTCACGTAAATGCGCGCGCGTTGTTATTATTATTTATTTTTCCACACGGGCGAGGATCGCAACGAACGAACGCGCGCAACACACGACGAGTCGAATACTAAACTGGACGACGGACCGGCTGTGTCGCGTAGTGGCGGCGGGCCCGTGTTCACGACGGCGGCGGGCGTACAGAGTGCGCGCGCGATCGGTTTGCAGTGTGGCGGTGGACGCGGCGGCGGCGCGGCGGTGGCGATGACGACGCTGTGGGACAGGTCGGGGTGGCGGAACGCGGCCTAGCACGCATGTGCTACGCATCACGGAGTGGGCGTGGCGGACGCCGCTTACGACCGCCCAACGTGCGGTGGTCACGTGACAAAAATGGAGCCTCACCGCCGCCCGTGCCGTCGCCCGTCGTCGACCGTCCGTCCATCCGTCCGTCCGTTACGCGCGCACAGTTCGTCCGTCCGTCCGCACTGCCAAACCGGCCGCGGCGGCGGCAGCGGTGGTCGCCGCCCGAGCCCCGCGCCCGACGGCCTGCCACCCGAACAGCGCTTAACCAACATGCCCCACCCCTATTTCCCCTCTCACCATCCCCTCACGGCCCATCCGACAGACAACACACCGTACCTTTCCGCCACCAAGCTTTGTTGTGCGGCGGTTGAAAAGTTCGATTTCGGTTGTGTGCTACGTGCATGCCGCGCGCGCAAACCGGACTCGTCTATTATCTCCGAGCGCGGAAATCAACACGACACGCTCTTTTGTCAATACCCACCGTGGTGGCGGCGCTTTTTTTCCCGTTTCGCCGCCAAACTTACCGAATGCAAATAAACTGCCACACAACACGTTATGTTTTAATAATTAATTGTTATAAATCAATCGACTTCCTACGCGTACATTATTTTGTATACTATTACGCCGTCGTCGTCGAAATATATAGTATCCTCAACAATAGTAATGTTTAACAGACATTGACCTAGCACATATACCGCATCTACATAAATATAATCTTATTTTGTATTTTATCGAGTAATGTAGATTACTCTGAAAATACATATTTTATTTTATTTTATATTTATATTTGTGTACACAGTAGTTTTATAATGAGAGTGCATACCCTAAGCGGAGATAGTATAATAATATTATTGTACGTATTTTGGTACCCGAGAATGACCCGACTATTATATTATTCCACGTGTGTATTCTAGAGAACCACTCGAAAACCACGTTTTGTATGCTGTTATAATAATAATAATATAATATATAGGTGCACATTGTTGTAGGTATCTGTTTATTTCTGCAAATTTAAGTATATATTTATATAGTGTATATAATATGCACTTTACTGCACAGCACATATACAATATACCTATACAACGAGACGAAGAAACGAAGCGCATCGATAAAGATCTATCCGTCACTATTGTACTTTTTAACACGTTGACACATTCTAGTCGAACAGAATATAATAATATATATTTCCTCATATTACCATATACATTTAAAAGCACATTAAATTTAATTCACGTATAGATATTATATAGACTTCGATTTATTATTTACTTAATATTTCGTGTGTAATGAAACCCGTGACATTTATATAATTATATTATATAGGTACCTATTTACTTTTTGTACACTATTGATATAGAGCTGTCGACCATGCGTGTTTATATAGGTAGGTATTCTATAGTATATTATACCGAATTGATTTAGAAATACGTAATGCGTACCTATGTATATAGGTAGGTACTATATAGGTTTACATTTATTTGTACACTTATTCGGTTATTCGTATTTATGTATACGATCGGGGACAAGCCCCTCGAATGTTTATACTGTTTTAAGCGATATTTTTTACCCCTACATAATGTAGACGAGTTTGTAATATACAAGTATAATAAATGCCTAAGTATATATATATATATATATTTATAATATATATATTGAAATAATATATTAATCCCACCTCCGACGTTAACGCCAATGACGACGATGCCACATGCACACACACGCGCGCGCGTTCACACCACTGTTAAACACCTGGCTACCCCGTCGGCGGCAATCGATTTTCGCCACCGCCGCCACTCTCTACTCTTCTAAAACCACCACCGTCGTCGTTGTCGTCCTTTGGTTATCGCCTCCCTTTCATTCTCTCTCACTCTGTCACTGTCCTTCTGTCTCTCTCACTTGCTCTCATGAACTACGTGCAACCCGTAGCTGCCGGTTGGCACACTCGAGAACACCTCCGGCCCGATCTATCTTTGCTCTTTATCGTTACACCTACAGGTATGTGGTATAGGTACGTCCATTCAGGTACGATTTTTTCTCGGTATTTACCATTTACGATTAACCTATATACATTTATATCGTATTTATAGGTATAAATAAGTCCGACTTGTTATTCACATAAAATGTTCAATAAATGCAATATCATAGGTATTAGGGATAGACGTATAGTATTATATTATTTATTCATGTAAGCTTAGTAAAAATTATAAATTATTTAAAGCAACTACCTTACAAAATGTAGGAACCTATAATATAATCACTAGGATTCGGGACTTATTACACACAAATTGTAGGAAATATTATGTACTTAAAATAACCTAAATATATAGAACTGAATTTTTTTTATAACAATTAAAAATTTGATTTATTAAATTTTAAATTTAGACAAACATTAAACTTTATATTACTCTATACTCTATAGGATCGATTTAATTTTCATCGTCTTTTCCTATATTGAAAAAAAGGTTGAGTATTTTTAAAAGAAAAAATAAAGCATTTTTTACTTGTAAAGTTACACTGTACAATAAGACATTTAAATGCGCACGGCATTTATTTTTATAAATTTAAAACGAACGTTCTACGTATCGGCAAATATTAAAATATGCCAAACCTGAATTAATTTAACTTTAAATCTTCAGGTAAACCCTCGAAATTTCCCATAAGTTAACAAATAAACAGCCAGCTAATACGCAGAATCAATTAGGTATTACCCTAGTTTCCCTGTCCGATGACGCCATGACTCGTTCTATGATTATTTATAGGTATACATGACGTGTGACAATAAAAAAAAATGATGTTAACTTCTAAAATAAATATCTTTAACATAAAACGTAACAATATGCAAATGCATAAAATTCCGAACCCTAATAAATTGCTATATTATAATGTATAAATTAATATTGAATGTTGTAAAAGGCAACGGTAAATTACTGCACTGCAAAGTATGCTTAAATGCCTAGTTCACACCACTATAGCAGTTTAAACTGTAAATAGGTGAATACTAATAATAAAAACAATTTGCTATTATCAAACCAATTTAACGGATAGGAGTTTAAAAAAAAACTTTAAGATTATTTTGTATTCAGTTTGAAGAATTCGTTATTAGTAATAATTTAAGTTATCTTAGATATATACAAAAAAATTAAATTAATTCTGTATCTTCCAAATGTCAAAACTGTCATTTTGATGAAGCTATTACGTAATGATATAACCTGTATATTATGTCGATAAACAAAATAATTTTTCGACGGCGATACCTTCATGAAAATCTCACCTATTTATGGCGATGATACCTATATGGTAGGTAATATGATTTATATGATATGACATTTTCGTGAAAATTATTACAATAAAAAAGACATATTATACCTACTTTTAATTAATAACACCTATGTAGGTATTGTGCGATTTTATTTAACATTTAAAATAGGTACTTTTAAAGAATACATAATTCATATTACAATATTTATTTATTTACTTACTTTTATTAATTATTATTAATAATTTATAATTGTTTATGTACCTATAATACCTACACGTATAGATATTATCATATTATGAGCAGGTGATGTTAACCCGCCTTACTATTCAAATTAGTCAAATCGAGAAAAGTTTGTCGTATTCACTAAAAAAGTTTATGAAGTGTACCTATATAAAAGTTTTATTCTATGTATATATTTTCTATATAAAACAAAAGTCATTCAAACATTCTATAAACTTCTTTACGTCAAACGATTTTCAGCGATTTAAAAATAGTTTATCCGGTACATCCCTTCTGTTATTGTACAATACATACATGCTTTAGAGTTTATTTTATACACCTAATAGTTATATATGCATGTAGACATGCAGCACCGGATACGTGGTGGGGGCAAATGCCAAATGGTGACTCTTGCCCTGGGCACCGTTCGCTTAGCACTTCACGATGACAGAGCCTATATACCATCCGGTGTACCGGATGATCTACTGAATAATTAAGATAGCCAAAGACATATAAAACATAATATTCAAAATCCCCTGTACGTTATAATATTATATACCTATACAGATTAAAATTCAAATGAATAAAATATACATAATTACGTACCTTATACATACGATACACATTTTTCAATGTGATACCTATATAGTACCTATATATATGTTATATTGCAGTTATTACTTTACGTCTGTATATTGAACAAAATACATCATACTTAATATGTATAATAATATTATCCATAAAAAATAAACATGATTTCGATTTGGAGGGGCGGTGTCTTCTCATTTCACTAATTTTATATTACTCCCGGGCTCCAAATATACCTATCGTAGGTACAATCTATACAGATATGATCTATTATATATATATGAATATAATATATAATATCAGCTGCAGTACATAGGTATATGGGTACTGAGTATAGTCATATTTTTAGGTATCCGTGTATAATGCGCACAGTACCTATGTATTCAGTTTTATACATACGTATATTGTATATATATATATATATATGTATCGTTGAGGTTACAATTTTGTGAAATATTATGACCTGTAGAAGTGGACAAAACGTGCAGTATATAAATATATATATATATATATAATATATTTGTACATTATACCTGCAGCTATACATGCATTGATGTCATATATATACATATATGTACCAACCTAATCTAACGCGTACAGCAATGCACAATGGTCTTCTGACATGTGCAGCATTATACCTACCTATATATATATATGTATATACGTCGGTATAATATATTATATATCGTGGGATCCGTTTGACTGTTTGAGAGAAGTATGAACGGGCACTGAACACACATAAACACCACTAAAACCGAACTGTCAGCCCCAACTAAATTTAATATTTATCTATATATATACATATA